TCATTTGTCACCACAGAAAGTGCCTACACTGAGACAAGCTCTGAGCTCTGAGCTGGAACACTGGGGAAGCAGAAATAAATCAGCCATAAATTGTCTTCAAGGAGCTGTCAGTCCCTTCAGAGACAAGGATTTAGCTGACGATTCCATTTAGAACACACTACGGCTGGTGCTCTGAGGTCCATTTTGGTGGCTGAGGGAACACAGGTAAGGCAACGAGGAACTTTACTTCAAAGGATGACCACAAGTCCGCCATGTTAGAAAGGGAGAGAATAGCATTCCAGGCAGAAGGAACAGCAGAGCTAAAGCCAGGGAGCCATGAAGTCACATAGGCTGGCTCCATGACCAGAAGTTAAGGAGAATTTGCAGGAGGGCCAAGAGGTGGTTTGGGAGAAGTAGCTTGGGGCCAGATCTTTGATGGTCTTGGGTTTAGTGCTAAGGAATCTGGTAGGAAATGGGGGGTCCCTGAAGGGAGAGGGATAACAGGGTTGGAGTTACAGTTCATAAAGATATTTATTTATTTATTTATTTGACAGACAGAGATCACAAGTAGGCAGAGAGAGAGGAGAAAGCAGGCTCCCTGCAGAGCAGAGAACCCAATGTGGGACTCAATGCCAGGACCCTGGGATCATGACCTGAGCTGAAGGCAGAGGCTTTAACCCACTGAGCCACCCAGGCACCCTCATAAAGATCTTCCAACAGTGTCTCAGAAGAAGAAAAGGCTTGATGCAGAGAGACATTTATGAGGCTCTGACAATAGCTCAGGGAAGAGACAGCAAGTACTTGATTGGCATCGTGATTGTGGAGGTAGAAATGACTAAAAGGAATATTCAGGAAGGTAGAATTGACAGGATTCTCGACTAAATAAATGGGGTGGTGAAGGAAAGGGAGATCTCTGGCTTGGTGCCTAGCTGGATGGTGTTACTAATGTTAACCAAGATGGAAGACATTGAAGGAAGAGTTGGTGATGAGCCTGAGTCAGACCTGTTGGGTGTGAAGTGCCTTTGGGACTCCCTATTGGCTTTGTCTAATTGGCAGGAGGCATGGATGCCTGGAGCTGAGGAGAGCAGCCCAGGCAGGACACACAAATCTGGGAGTTGTGAGTTTATGGCCCGTGGCTGGAGCCCTGGGCATGAATGGGATTGGAGGAGGGTGTGGGATGGAAAGAGAATAGGGTTGAGAGTGGCACCGACATTTAAGAGATGAAAGATGAGTCCGTGAAGGAGGCTGAGTGAGGCCAAGAGCCGTTACTGCTTCCTTTAGTTCCCAGGGACACGGAGGCCGAACACCCCAGTGGCCACAACTCATGACCCAACAGAAGCATCCCCAGGAAGGGCCATGGGGTTACTGCCCTAGAACTCCCAGGATGCGCAGTCGCTCAGGCTGGGGCCTGTGAGAAGATGTCCTGAGGCGGGGACACATGGGCGCCTGGGCTTGGCCTGCCTCCTCTCCTCTCATCCCCGTGCACAGTAACTCTAGCCTTTCACAGATGTGTTTTTGTCTGAGAGAAAAACAAAAGGATGCAAGAAAAGAGAAACAGAAGAAATGCTTGAATTTGTTTCGTTTTCAGACCAGACAAGGGCCCAGCATTTCCTGACATCGAAAAAAACCTTCCAGACGTGTCCTAGGTTGACTCCAATGAGCTCATTCTCTCGTTATCATTAGGGGCAAAGAGAGTCGGGTCCTTTCACAATTAACCAACAGAGGATCTTATAAAACAAAGCAAAAGAGAGGAAACGATCCCAGAATTCTGCTCTCCGATTCGTGTTCTCCTACAGAAACAGGACTGTGGCTTTACACTGATAATGGCTCGGAGCAGCCAAATAATTGATCTATTCGGTGTTCTGGCTTTCAGTGAAAAGTGAACCGGCCTCTTTAGAAATGTTGGCAGCCTGGCTGGTCCATTAGTAAGACTGAAAAATCAAAACACTGACTGGAAAAGGCCATTATGACTCCTGGACTCAGCAGGAGTCATCGATAGATGATGTCATTTCAGAAATAAGCAAGCCAAGGTCACAAGGCTCCTGGGCCAAGTCAAACTACCCTTCGTGGCCCATCACTACCCTCCTTTGCAGATCCTGAAGCCTGCTAAGGAGACGCAGGGGTTAGAGCCAGGACTGGGTTCATTTTACTTTACTTCATTTCTTTGCTTACCCTGATTCTAGAGGAATGGGGTTCTAGAGGCTGTGATACTCGGCAGGTGGTTAAGGCAGGCCCTGGTCCCCTCCCATTTGCACACCCCCAGATTTTCTTTTTGGCTTCTTCCTGTCTTCTGGGTCCTTTTTCACCTCTTCCCACAAGCCTCATCCCAGATGCACCTGTCCTCCCTTGCCCATCACCGCCCCCCCCACGCCTGTCTTCAGCTCCTGCTACCTTTCCTCCCTACTCCTTTCTCAGTGGAGCTTTCAGGAGTGGTAGACTCTGTTCCCACGTCTTCCGCTCCCATTAGCCTGCCTCTTCCTCTCGCTAATGCTAGAAATATCCTTGCAGGTACCAAGCCCTTGAGCTGAGGGCTCTCCCAGCATCGCCTCACTTCATACCCACAGCAACCCATGTGAAACTGGTGTTGTTATTATCCCCATTGCACAGAGGAGGAAACTGAGGCCAAGACAGACAGGCTGGGTCACTGGCCCCCGTAACGCAGCGGCGGAGCCCATGTTTGATCCCTTTGCAAGGCCCAGTCCAAAGTCACCCAAGACCACGTGCCAGTCCTGGTGGCCCCTTCCCAGTCCTCAGCCCCTCTGTCTTTCCTTAGCAATGGCCACTACTGACCTCTCTCCTCCCCTGGCTCCTGGGAAACTACTTTCTCCTACTCCTTCCCTCCTCTTCACGGTGTGTGTGGGGGGGGTGTCCCCCTCTCAGTTTCATTCCTGGCTCTTCACTTTTCTCAGGCTAGCAAGTCTTCCAAGGGAACCTCTGAGCCCTCTTAACCCCAGGTCTACTGGGGACCATTCTGCCCACCCCCTCATAGTTCAAGGTCACTCAGAATGGGTGGCAGAGTTGGGGTGGGAGCCAGGAGTCTTAACCTCCAGGTCAGTCCAGCTCCTGTTACTCAGAGCTGCCACTAAATACCTACTCCCTGTTTTTCACATTTTTGCTGAGCGGCAGCAAGCAGCCCTACCCTGGGTGAGGGAGAAGGTGTGAGGCCTTGATAAGGTGGGGCGGAGGCTATTTTTAGAGGACACTGGCTTTCCACTCCGGCTGGGAGCAACTTGCCAGCCAAGCCAGGCAAAAACATGAATTTGTAAGGTGGGCTCATGAAAGGGAGTAAAGACACCAAATGACAACATTCCTTGTTTTCACTCTGTTTGTTGCATGGCTCAGATTGATGGGGCTCTGTCTTCATTCCCCCTTACTTCTTTATCAGGGAGGCTTTGAGGTCTAGAGAAAATGTATAATAGGAAGTAAAGTTGAAGCAAAAATGAAATTTCAGAATGAGGGCGCTATTGTCTGAGCAGCGGAAAGTTCTGGACAACAGCAGCTCAAAAAAGAGCGGGCACTGGTGGGGCGCTCACAGATCACAAGACCTGCCCTAAGAGCAGCAAGAAGGGTCAGGAAAGAGACAAGAAAGGCTAGTGGAATCCGCAGGCCTCCTGGCCTGCCCAGCAGCACGTGACCTTGAGCAGGGGGTCCTGTGACCCTTGATAAAGAATGAAATAGCTGTCATCACTGGAAGAAAGATGATGATGATTTGGGGGGGTGCTCCCTCTGAGGGTCCTGAACCCGAGTTAGGGTCTGGTTTGGATATGGAAACATTGGGGCTAGGTCATCTTCAAGAACCTGAGAGAGTGAATGAAGGTGGAGACCACTTGCAGGGTGGGTGTAGCAGGAAGGGGCTGGGTGGCTGGGGGGTGGCGTGGTGCTTGCGTGTCTCCAAGGCCGCATCATAAGCACTGTATAGATGGGGAAATTGAGGCCAGGGAGCAGCTGGACTGGAGCCTGTGGTCCTGCCCAGTTCGTCGGGTCTAAGGCTGTTTGAATCACAGGCTGCTTTGTGAGGGTGATGGCTGCTCCCCAGCAGAGGCGCCCATAATTACCGTGGGACGCTCTTCCTGGACGTATACGGCACAGGCTATTCCGAGTCCCAGTATAGGCCTGAGTCAGAGGGGCTGCCTAAGTGTCCGGTTTCCATCATGCCCCAGGCTGTGCGTGGCTGGGCCCCGGCGTCCCAAGCCAGAGCCAGGGAACAGGTGTGGGGCAGCGCTGGTGGTCAAGAGCGCACCCTGCTGCTCTCACCGCCCAGACTCCTAGCTCCATCACCCAAACCAAACCCTGCCCTTACGAACGGGGCCCAGAGAAGGGAGGGGGCTCGCCAAGACCACCCCGTGAGTTGGCGACAGCGAGGGGGTTTCTGCCTCCAGACTCCTGCCCGCTCTACCTCGGCACGAAATGCCTGCATCGTGGTGCTTTCAACCGCGTCAGCTCCCGTAGTTTGGGAAACTTTTCCTGTCACCAACTGGCGCAGGTTCCTCGTCCACCAAGCACGAACGCCCCACTCCCACCCCCAAACTCTCGGCAGCGGGGAAGGGCCACGCCTCGTGCCGGGCTCCGTCGGGCAGCACCTGTGCCCAGCAGAGCGCCCGCCGGCTCAGAGCCCCGCGGCGCGGGTGGCGAGTGGCGAGCGGCGGAGGTGGCCGCTCCGCCCGGACCTCCGCCCGGACCTCCGCCCGGACCTCCGCCCGGACCCCCGCCGGGCGCCGCTCTCCGAGAGCGCACGGGTCCTTCCGCCGCTTACAGACGCGGCGCGGGGGGCCGGAGACAAGAGCGCCGCGGCTGGGGCCCCGGGAGCCTAGGAGCGCCGACGCAGCGCGGGGCTCCGGACCCCGAGACCAGCCCCCGAGGCAACCCGAGGCGGCGGCTATTTATAGAGGGAGCCACGCTCAGTCCCTCTTGGCGGCGGCGGCGACAGCTGAATATTTTGCCCAGATATGGCTGGGGCCCCGGCGCGGGGGCAGGGAGCCCCGCGAGCGTGAGGGGTACCCCGGGCCGGGTGGGGGACTTACCGGTCCGTAGAGCCGCGGGGACGGGCGCGGGCGGCGACGGGGCGAGCGCGAGAGGCAGGCGGACGGGCGCTGGCGGCGGCCGGCGGGCGGGCGATGCAGCGCCGGGCTGGACGAGCTCCCGGGCGGCCGCGGGCGGGCGCTGTGGGCTCCGGGGGTGGGAGCCAGGGGCGGGCCCGGCTCCGCGCTGTCACCGCGCCCCGCCCCGCCCCGCCCTCCCGCCGCCCTCTCCCTCGGTACCTCTCCCTCCACTCGGGGGCGCCGGGGCGCCGCGCACCGTCCCCGACCGGAGAGCAACGTCCGCTGGGGGCAGCGCTGGGCAGGGGCCGGGGCGCCCCGAGGCTTGGTTCCGCGGACAGACGGCTGTGGATATCCCCGAGTCTCGGTCTCGGTTTCACCACTTGTACCGGGAGGAGTTTAAGCGGCGGTAGAGGTGTCTGGGAAAAGGGCGGATTTGCATTCCTCCGGCGTCTGGGAAGTAAGAATCGGGCGGTCTTTGGATGGAGCAAAGCCAGCCAAGCAGCTGCTGCATCTTTACTCTTAACTACAGCAACCACCTGTCCCATCTTACCGGCCGCCCAGCTAGGTGTGGTAGGAGCCGAAGCTTCAATAACGATCATTTTGTGAGCCCATAGTGCCAAAAGAGTCGAATGCATTCTCTCTATTCTTAGCAGGAATGGAGTGTCCAAAATACCGACTTAAGATACAAAACCAGAAAAAAAAAAAAAAAAAAAAAAAACCCCCTTTTTTAAAAGGCGAAGAGAAATGTTTTCCAGAACAGCCCACTTAAAACCAAACAAAAGCTTTGTTTAAATTTTTTAAATGGCCCATAAGGGGCGCCTGGGTGGCTCGATCGGTTAAGCAGTTAACTTCGGCTCATGTCATGATCCCCGGGCTCTGCCCCCATCCAGTTCCTCACTCTGCGGGGAGCCTGCTTTTCTCTGTCTCTCTGCCTGCCTTTTGCTCCCCCTGCTTGTGCTCTCTCACTCTCACTCTCTCTCTGTCAAATAAATAAAATCTTTAAAAATAAAATAAAAATAAAATGGCTCATAAAAAGGATTTCATGTTGACCAGAGGGTATGGTTTCTAATTATTATGGGAAAGTTTCTTGTGGAGTAGACCCTAATAATGTTACTCTTTCTAATCCTGGTGTATAGGGGCCCCTGGGTGCCTCAGCCAGTTAAGCCTCTGCCTTGGGCTCAGGTCATGATCTCTGGGTCCTCGGATGGAGCCCTGCTCATGCTGTCTCTCAAATTAATAAATTTTTAAAAATCCTGGTGTATGGATTACTAATGAAAAATGTTCATTTTTGTTTTTGTAAGTCTTGTTTTCCACAAAAATGTATTCCTACATTAGAAAACCCTCACAGCTGTAAGAGAAGGCTCTTTTTAAGGGGCTGTGTGCCATGCATTTTTAAATAAAGCAATGATTTATTTCAGATTATTTTAAAACCCTTTTTGCTGTGGAATCAAACATTTAAGAGAAGTTATCACATGAACACCTGTTGCAACCACCAGTCAAGAAACAACATGGCCGGCAGCCCAGAAACCAACCTGTGTGGTTCTGAGTCACAACTCCCTCCTAAGATGATTGGTTCCTTGACTACTATCATAATCATTTCCTTGACTGCTTTTCCTCCATGGTTTGTCTCCATTTGCCTGCATGGCTTCATGTGGCTGTAGTTTGTTTACTTTCATGGCTGTAGAGGTTTCCACTGCATGAATATACCACAGTTTTTAAAAAATGTACTTTACTTGGGTGCCTGGGTGGCTCAGTGGGTTAAAGCCTCTGCCTTCGGCTCGGGTCATGATCCCAGGGTCCTGGGATCAAGCCCCACATCGGGCTCTCTGCTCCGCGGAGGCCCTGCTTCTTCCTCTCTCTCTGCCTGACTCCCTGCCTACTTGTGATCTCTGTCAAATGAATAAATAAAATCTTTGAAAAAAATGTACTTTACTGTTAATGGACATCTGTTTCTAGGTTTTAGCTACAGGCAATAGAGCTGCTGTGAACATTCCTTACTGGTATCCTCCAGCACAGGTGCTTGAGTTCTTCAATAATTGGAATGAACAGAAGTTGAAACATTGTCACGGTTCCCAGAGTGTCAGAGGTATCTCACTGAAACTTGAATTTCCATTTCCCATGTCCTAATGAGTTGAGTGCCTTTTCATGTTTATTGGCCAGTTGGACTTCCTCTTTGTGAAATGTTTGTTCAAATTTGTTGCCATTTAGTGCTCCCTTTGGAGCACATATACTAAAATTGGAACAAATTTGTTGCCATTTTGTTTCTGGATTGTCTTTTGGTCATTGAGTATATTTTAGATACATTCCTCCACTGTGTAGTTGCTTATACACCACCACAATAATACCTTTGGACAAACAGGTCTTCTTCATTTTAACATAGTCTAACATATCAATATTTGCCTTTACTGTTAGCCCTTTGTCCTATATAGGACATCTTTCCTACTCCTGGATTATCAAGGTGCTGTCCTGTGTTATCGTCCCTCCTTAGACTCTCATGTTCAGGCTTTGAATCTACCTGGAATCAACTTGGAATATGGTATGAGGCCAAGTTTCATTGTCAAATTGTCCTAGCACATTAATTTTTCATTTACATCAACAGCACAACTGCTTTATTTTAAAAAGTAATGGGGGTCGTCTGGGTGGCTCAGTGGGTTAAAGCCTCTGCCTTCGGCTTAGGTCATAATCTCAGGGTCCTGGGATCGAGCCCCGCATCGGGCTCTCTCCTCGGCGGGGAGCCTGCTTCCTCCTCTCTCTCTCTGCCTGCCTGTCTGCCTACTTGTAATCTCTGTCAAATAAATAAATAAAATCTTTAAAAAGTAATGGAAGCATTTCTAAAGTCAGTGAAATAGAAACCATCTCTTCTTTATCTGTAGGCAATTTGAGGATTTTTGTTGTTTTTTTTGTTGTTGTTGTTAAGGAAAGAAACCATAATAAAATACATTCACACTACTTTATTTTACTTAAACATTTGTATGTCAAGATATTTTGATTTTATCTTAATGATTATTTAAATCACTGGTGTAAGCAGTCCTGAATTTTGAATCACTTTAATTATAAATATTAAATATAAATTTTAAGACATTAGATGATTTCAACATGTTTTACACAAAAAACATCAAATATATGGTCTTTTTCTTTTTGCTCTCACTTTTCCTAGATTTTCTCAAACAAAAATAAGCAAATGACTTTTAAAATTTTTTTCTCCAGCCTGGTCTTCTCCCCTGAGGAGACTCCACAATTTTAATAGTTTATGCATATCCTCACAGAGACCTACTGATTTAAACTCAGGATGTTTAAAAATCAAAATTTTCAGTTTCCCAAAGGGAGTAAGGGTCATCATCCTAGCCTCTCAGACTTTAAGACTTGGCTTCACTTTTTGACATTTCCTTTTTCCTGTCTTCTGGACCTAAAATGTCGGTACTAAAAATTCCAATTAAAAACTTCAAAAGAATTTTAACTTTCTTTCTTCATTCCCATTGCTACCCTCTTAATCCAGGGCCTTGCCCCTCTCATTTTCGGACCACTGCCTAGGAAGGCCTCCAACCTATCTACCGGCCCATCCTGTCCATCAGTTAGTGAGCATATAATGGGTGCCTGATGTGTTCAAGATATCATATCATTCTGTCTGTTGTGGAAGATACAGTGTGTTCTGGACTCCACTGCACAGGCTCACAAGAGCTGCTTGGGCATGTCTTTCCCCAACTCTACGTTCAGTGATGTCACATTGTTAGCGGGAACTCAACAATGGTGGGAGTATTTACATGGGAATCATCAGTTACTGGGAATCAAGGCTTACTCTCTGCCCACGCCCACCAGAACCAACTGTCAAACATTTACCAGTACGACACTGGAGAGATGACTAAGACCCCTCCCTCCTTCGAGCAGCTCACAGTCTGGCTGGGGTGATGGGTGCACAGACAACTAGCTGTAGACTATAAGCCCAATGAGGTCTGGGCACCAAGAGGGGCATACTGAAAACGTAATAGAGTAGGAAGGGCACCAAGGAAGGCTTCATGGTCAGCCTGGGACATCAGGGAGGATACTGGCCAATAAAACTAGTGGGGGTGGGTGGGGAGGGTAGCGGGGGAGAAGGAGCAGCAGGCTGAAGAAGCAGAATAAGCATGGTTTGGAGGGGAGCAAGGCTTGCTGCTGGGTGCACATGCCTGGGGTTCAGGAGCCAGATAAAGGGCCAGTGTGGCTGGTTAGGGACCAGTGGGCAATGAGGTTGAGTAGGGAGACTGGAAGGCATGGACTCTCTGGGCAGTGAGGTGCCACTCAAGATTTGGGGTGAGGGGCAGGCTTTGAGGTTCACCTGGGCTGCTTCCCTATAGTACCACCAGCAATGCTAATGTGCTAAACATTCAAGATAGTCCTCACACGGATTGGCGGTCACTTGCTTTGGGACGTACCATTACACCAGGGTTAAATCATGAATTTCTCACAGTCTAACTGTAAAGGAACCCATCATCACCCAGAAGACATGAATAGAAAGGGAAACCCTTCATCTTAAGATCATAAAGCCTAGAAATGATGAGGCAGTCAGTTTTTATATTGATAAACATTTTATTCTAATATTATAGTAATAATTCAAGTGCAAGTTTCTTTGAAAAGTCAACTCTGTTAAAACAAAACTTGTTAAATATCTTTCATCAAACAGAAGCGTATTCTTTTCAATCCCCACAGCAGTCAGAGCTCTGTAGCAGAGACGTTTCTTTTTTAAAAGCCTACTACATTTTGTTATTGCTAAAAAATCTGAATTAGTTGTCAACGTCTCAGAAGCAGTGATTAATTAACTTTTGAAAGCTCTACCAGATACTCTGACATAAAATCATGAATCCAGATATCTGTGTCTGGCAACGATGTGTCCACTAAATAGACCACTACTTTCCGGTCCCAAGGGTTAGCATTTTCTATAACTGTCTGCACCAGTGCCACCAGAGGTTTCTTCTCCACATGATTTCGAAATACCATCGAAGCCTCCTCAGACCACTGGTTGCACTTCACCCCTAGGAGAAAGACAGGGAGTACAAGGATCAGTG